TTTACCTTACAAATCTGGCTAGACCAGAGGATGTACACTGGTACAGATAGGAACTGGAAACACAGGGAATCCAGGACAGATGATCCCTTCAGGACCAGTAGTGAGAGTGGCGATACTAGGAGGGTAGAGGGAGGGTTGGGTGGAAAGGAGGAACTGATTATAAGGATCTACATATAACCTCTTCCCTGGTGGTGGTGGTGGGGGGTTACAGAAAAGCAGGTGAAGGGAGATGTTGGACAGTGTAAGATATGACAAAATAATAATAATTTATAAATTATCAAGGGTTCATGATGGAGGGGGAGCGGGGAGGGAAGGGAAAAATGAGGAACTGATACCAAAAGCTCAAGTAGAAAGCAAATGTTTGGAGAACGATGATGGCAACAAATGTACAAATGTGCTTGACACAATGGATGGATGGATGGATTGTGATGAGTTACATGAGCCCCCAATAAAGTGTTTTCCAAAAAAAGAATAAAAAAAAAACCTATAATCAGTATTTTATCGTAGAAAACTTTTTTCTAAAGCTCCCATTTTGACAAAATGTGAAAACTAGCAACTATTGATGAGAACTCATTATTTTAAATATAAATTGCATTGAATATAAAACAAAAGCTGATTTGCTCTGTAACAATAAGTATAAGAATGAAGAAAATGGACTAAAACTGATTTGTGATGATGAGTGTACATTTCTTGATGTGATTGAGCACTTGAATTGTATGGTATGTGAATTCTATGCCAATAAAACTTTTTGGGGGGAAATGCTAATTTGCTCTGTAAATTTACACCTAAACCACTTTTTTTGGAAGTGGGGGTGGTTCTGTGGGGCTCATTCAGGCAGATTCCTTTGACCCGTTTTTTTGCTGCTTGTTGCCAGGTTTCAAAGCAAAAGTATTTCCCTGTGACCAGGAGCCTGGTTTTATTTTCAAAGAATCTCTTGGAAAATCATTGTTGGTTAAAATTTGTGAATCATCAGTGAACGAAACGATTCCATTACGTTTCCTCTGCAACTTTCGACCGCCTTGTGGTCTGTGGAGCTGTGGGAATTAGCAGCGGCGGATGAAACCTTGTCCTAACTTTTGGAGGGGCACAAAAATAAAGCCTTGTTTATTTTCATAGTCTCTGTCTGTCCCACATTAAGCACGCAGTACATGCGCGCCTTATGAATTAATAGACGAAGGATTCGAAATCTCAACCCTGCAAGACACCAGACTGCAAAGACAAGAAGCTCACAGATCTCAGCAGATGGGCCTTGTGATCCGCAGGATTCTTATACAAATGTGGGCTGATCTTAGTCCATCCACTCACTTGGGTCCAATGTGTGATGTCTTTTTCGTGTTCCAGGTGTGTAACATTGCACATCATCGTCAGGACCCCAAATATCGGTCCCTGTTCAGAAGGGTCGTGAAAAAGTGGACGACAATCGTTGGGCCGACTCCGCAAACCCAGACGTTGTCCTGCGAGGTCAGCCCCTCCGCCTCCGGAGTTTGCAAACCCCGCCTTGGTCACCCGCCCCGCCCCCACGTTTTCCAGGCTCTTCCTGGGTCAGCTTTGTGATGGGAACCAGGTGGGCACCGATAATGAGAAGAGAAGGTCAAGCGTTTACACAGTCCTGCTCTTGGGAGAGAAGGGGGTCTCGGCACAGAGGAGGGTGGGTTGGGAGGACCGGGGGCCGGGGACCCGAGCCGGTGCGCGTGCTGGTGGGCGGTGCCGGGGACGGTGCTTTGGGGGCGGTGCCCGGGGCGGGGCGCGCGTTGGTGGGTGTGCCGGGCTCCCATTGGTCCCGCGAGCGCCCCGCCCCCCGCGGCCTCGAGGTCCTAGCGAGTGGGCAGCGCAGAGCGGCTTTGGGTCACGACCGCGGCGACAGGGGAATCATGGCCGAGTACGTACGGCTGCCCAACTTTCTGGCTCTGATCCGCCTCCGAAACCCGCCGGTCAACGCCATCAGGTAACAGCCTCCCTTAGCTCCCAGCCCAGAGTGGCGGGAACCTCCCCCGGATGGAGCCCCAGCCACGTCCGGGCATTTAATTTTATTTTATTTTAACGCGGTTGGTTGGATTCATCCTCTCCGATAACTCTCGGCTCCCTTTGATTGGTAAGAAACAGGTTGAGGCATATAATCAGTAGGGGATCTGGGTCTGTCGCTGCCACCTGGATCGTGCTTCGAGATCATGAAAATAGAAACTATTCCTGAAAAGCCAAAAGTTGTAAGCAAGCAGCGTTTCAGGACTCGTTTCTTTCCCAAAGTTCCTGATTCAGTGCAGCCCTGCCTGGCCTGGTCCCTCACTCCGCACACGTGTAACTAAGGGCTTTAGAACTAAAATGGTCTAACAGGTCCCCTTGAGTCCGAAGGGACTCGGCAGGCAGCCAGCAACAAGCAAACAGGCTCATCCCCCGCCGTTAATGCCTGACCCGGAGCAGAGAAGTGTCCAGAAAGGCCAGCGTTTTCTCCTGATGTGTTCCAAACCTCAGCCCCCGCCTCTCCCACCTCCATCCGTGACAAAGACCCATGTCAGAATAAGCCTATGAAGTAGCATTTTCTGAAAACCTACCGAGCAGTTTTATCTTCATTTCCTAACTCACCAAGAACATTTTATTTACTTATTATTATTTTTTAAACCCAGTAAGTTTTCAATCTTTGCTGAGTTGGCCAGCCCTGTCTCCTTTCTCCTATATCAACCCTGACCCTCTTCACAAGCAGTGGAGAGACCTCTGGTTTTCAGGGTTCCCTCACAGACAAATGCCTTGCCCACATAACAACCCAGGGTAGACAGACATATAAATGCATAACCCAAACCAAAGTTGTGTGGAAACAACTTACCCTCACCAATGATACAATTGGATATAGTGTATTTTTTTTTCTCGCTCTCCTTAGTTTTAACTATTGGCCACAGACCACAGATTTGATGTGGTGGCCTTCATGCTAAACAACAATGATAAGAAAACTATCCCCCAAAGACCTCTTGTCCAAGAGGCACTTTGGCCTCAGCACATGTGAAATGTTGCCTTTACAGTACTCCAAACCCTGTGCTGGCCATTCCTGGCGGGACTGAGGGAGGAAAATAAGGCCTTCACCCTTGTGACGTTCACACTGCTGCAAGGTGGCGTCACTTTCAGTTGGCCTGGATCTAATAAAGCGCTGTCATTTTTTTTCCCTACTGCCTCTTTTTGATTTTTGGCAAAATGAACCAGAAAATATAAACTCAAAGAGTAAAGGTTGTTGGTTGGTTAAAATGGGCAAAGTCTGTCTTTGCGGTGGCACTGCCTGCCCTGATTGGTCTAACTTGCCTTTTGGACTTCTCAGTACTCGGCAATGGTTCAGAGTCTGTTTCTCACATGGGAACTAATTAACTAGTTGAAGACGAGGTCTTGTTTGGGTTCCTGTAAGAATAAATATTCAGAAGGAACTAGGTGAACGGAAATGAGCTTATGCAAGGACTTGTATCATCTTTATTCCTTGAAGTTGTAACCAGGGTTTCCAACCAGTTCTCCCTGGTTCAGCCATAGCCCCCAAATGGAAACCTGAGCTGACCTGAATTTGTAAAATGTGGGAGAATGTCGTCAGGAGACATCTAGGTCAGTTGGTATAACCTAGTCCACAAAGACAATGTTCTATCGTCAACTTGGATGAGTAGCAGCCGGGGTCTTAAAAGTTTGTGAGCAACCAGCCCTCTAAGATGCCACTATTAGTTTCTCCTTGTCAGAGCAAAGACTCCAGAGGCAGAATGTAGCATTCTAACCACAGTTTCTGCTAGCCTGAGACCAGAAGAACTAGATGGTGCCCATCAATTGCTACTTGATGGCTCTGAAAGGGATCACAACAGATGGTCTTGGACAGAAGAAGGGGGGGAAAAGTAGAGCGAGATTCAAAACCATACAAAAGGCCAGACTTACTGGCCTGATAGAGAGTGTGGAACCTCTGAGACTATGGCCCTTAAACATCCTTCAACCTGGAACTGAGCCGGCTCCTGGAGATCCCCTTTCAGCCAACCATAGACAGGTCTATGAAGTGAACAGTAGCACCCTGGAGGAATGTTCTCCTCTGAGCTCCCACCGAATGAGACCCAAAGGGCAACCTTTGCCCCAAAGCAAAGTTCAGAAGGCAGGGAGGGGCAGGAAAGAAGGCGAAGCCACCTGGGGGAAGCTGGGTAGCATTGGGAGGAAGGCTGTTGCACTGGGGGGATGGTGCTGAATGCCATGAAACAAACGCAGCGGGTGTTCGTTGACTGCAAAACTGATTTCCTCTGTAAGCTTTCAGCCAAAGCACAATGAAATGTGAAAAGAAAAGGGAAAAGGGGGTGATCCAGACGATAACTGGAACACGACACAGTGTGGGTCGCTTCAGGATGGCAGCTTCTTCACTCTACCTTGTTGCCAGGTGCCAGCGAGTCGATGCTGACTCAGCGTTAGTACAACACAACAAAACGCCGCCTGCACCTCTTCACAGTCGTTGCTCTACTTGAGCCTCTTGTTGCAGCCATTGTGTCAATAGATCTTGTTGAGTCGGTCTCTTTTTCACGCACCCTCTGCGTTACCGAGCATGCCGTCCTTCTCCAGGCACTGGCCTCTCCCGACAACACGTCCAGAGTCTGTGAGATGAAGTCTCGCCATCCTTGCTGCTGTTGGGTTGGCTGTACTCCTCCTAAGACAGCATTGTGTAGAAGATCCATGACAAACCTGGGCCCTTCCCCATCACTGCCAATTCAAACACACCTGTGCTTCTTTAGTCTTGCTTATTCGTTGTCCAGCTTTCACGTGCCTATAAACCAGGGAAAATACCAAGGCTTGGGTCAGGCACACCTTAGTCCTCAGGTAATACCCTTGCATTTCAACACTTTAAAGAGGTCTTGTGCAGCAGATTCACCCAATACAATGCGTCCTTTGATCAAGGAGCCAAGCAAGATGAAATCCTTGACAACTGTAGTCTGTTCTCCATTTATCGTGCTGTTATCCATTGGCGCATGAGCGAGCATTTTTGTCTTTTCAACCAACATGTTCAGTTTGAAATTGATCAAACAAACATGCAATCAGGATGCACTGATTGGTGATTTGAATGCAAAAGTTGGAAACAAAAGGGAAGGAACAATAGTTGGAAAATATGGTTTAGAGATAGAAGCAAAGCTGAAGATTGATCACATGATATGTACAGATATGTAATGATATTTTTAAATTGATTACTGTCGACTCTTAGACGGCAGGGTTAAAGCAGAGGGCAGGGAGATAGGTTTGTTTGTTTCAGTGTGAACTCATTTTAACAGCTTAGTGCTTAACTCATAGTAGACACATAATATTTGTTCAACAAATTAATGAAAGCTTTTTATTAACTCAGCGTTCTATTCATTGTGTGTGCTTAATTTTTCACCGGTTAACCAAAGGTGGGGGGCTCTGAGCCATGGTAGAAGTTTAATTCTCATGAATTTGCTTCATGTCATTATTATTTTTCTCCTTTTTAGTGAGACTGTAATCTATAAAATCAAAGAGTGCCTGCAGAAAGCTAGAGAAGACCAAACTGTCAAAGCCATTGTGATATGCGGGGCAGACGGCCACTTCTGTGCAGGTAATGGAGTGTCTCCTTCTCCACCCTTGTCTTTGGATTCCAGCTTCGCCCTGAGATTGGCAGTGGATCAGCTGTCCCTGTAGGTGCTACCTGCCTGTTGTGTTATTGTTGGGCGATGCTGAGTTGATCTTGGCTAGAATCTTTAGAGGACCAAATTACCAAGTCTTTCTCCTTAGAGCAAGCTGGTGGGGTGAACTGCCAGCTTTCGGGTTAGCAGCCAAGTGTTTAATTTTTGGGGTCACCAGGGTGCCTCTACCTTGTTACTCCAATTCATTGCCACCAGTCAATTCTGACTCCTAGGTGGGTGATCGATAAGGGAGTCTTGAGTAAGAGTGAATGACAGTCTGGATAAAGACACATGAGCCCATCTCAGAATTGTGATCTTTGGAGGAGGACCCCTGTTCCCCTACTCTGAACTTGAAAAGCGGGGGAGGAGTGCATCCCTGAGAACAACCAACCACACAGACGCAGAGGGCACCATTTGCCCTCCGATCAAGGTCTGAAGACCAGGTCAAGGGTGAAAGAAACATGAACGGACATGGTAAGCACAGGGAGCATGTGGAGAGAGTCCACTGCGGTCGAGGTCATGAACCTAAATGTGTGTGCATGGTTGAAGAGAAAACCAGTTTGCTCTCTCAACCTTTATTCGAATCCTAATGAAAAGTAAAAGCACAAACAACTCACCCCCGCCCAAAGATGGAGCACGGCCCGTCACTTGGCAAAGACAGACATTCCAAGATTACAGCATTCCTGATAGAGATTTAAGGATTTTCTCTCCTATCTTTCTACATTTCCAGAGTACTTGTTTCATCACTGTTTCTCCAATCAAGAAATGGAACATTTCACGGGTCTTGAGAGGCCTGAGATTCCTTATGCATTATCATTGTTTAGGAAGCTTTAAGTCTCTGTGGTGTTGGAAAAAAAATTTTTTTTTCATTGTAGATATTTCCCTTTATTTCTAAAAATTTGCTAGTATGAAACACATTCCCAAGAGTAAGCTTGTTAGGTCAAAGAGCCTTTTAATTTTTAATTTTGCTAGATATTTCCAAATTACTTTTGATAGAGGTAGTAATAACTCGTATTTTCTGTAATTTATGTGAAAATGCATTTTTACACATCTTATATAATTTCACACTTTAATGATTTGGTCAACTATGTTTTAATGCCATTTAATTTGCATTTCCTTGATTAGTGGGGTGTTCAAGCATCATGTATTTCCTCATTTGTTTATTTAAATCATTTTATTGGGGGCTCTTACATCTCTTTTCATAATCCATACATATACCCATTTTGTCAAACACAGGTGATGAAAATTTAGTCATGGATGTTAGTGATAATTGTACCACATAATTCACATAATTGGTATCATTGGATTGTGCACGTGACAGAAATGTTGCATCACCAAGTGTTGTGTTATCTGTATTTTTACAAAAGCTGCAACAAAAAGCAACCTTCCTTGTTGCTATGTAACAAAGCCCACGTCTTTCTCAACTTACCCCACCTTTGGATTTTGTCTTTGTCCTTAGGTGCCGACATCTATGGCTTCAGTGCTGAAAGGTCCTTTGGCATCTCATTGGGAAATATAGTAGATGATATTCAAAGAAGTGAGAAACCGATGGTGGCGGCGATTCAAGGCACAGCGTTGGGAGGGGGCCTAGAGCTGGCCCTTGGCTGTCATTATAGGATTGCCCATGAAGAGGTAATACTGCACATCACGTGGGACTGGTGGTGTGGACTTCTCTTTAAGGCCAGCTCTAAATGCTGCCATAGCATCAGAGATGATCGTCCGTGAATGGTTTGTTTATTAGTTGATAACTCCTGGGTCCCTCCAGTAGTGGTGTTTGGATGGTATGTACAGTGGTCCAAACCCAACCCAACCCACCGCCATCAAGTCCTTTCTGAATTGTAGTGACCCTAGAGGGCAAACTAGAGCAATTATCATTAGCCAACACACATTTTGGTGCCTCAAATGCTAGACCTGTTTCTGGCTATATGTGACTTGCTGATTCCAAAAATAGCACCAATCGGCTGTAGTTGTTGAGATACAGAACACATGCCATGTACCACTCTTCACTTTACTCACCTATAAAATGTAAGGATATTTTTATTTTATTTTTTATTAAAATACCATTTTATTGGGGGTTCTTATAACTCTGTCTCCCTTCCCCGATGACTTCTGTTGTTCTTTCCACTGGAGGGGTGTGTGTGGTTATATGTCGATCATCGTGAGCAGTTCCCCATTCCTCCCCTTCTCTTCACCCCCTTCCCCCTACCCTTCTGTTATCGCTTTCCCATTCCTGGATTCTGCGTGTCATGAGCCCTTATCTCTCACCTAAATCTGTGTACATGTTCTGGTCTAACCCGCAGTGAGAGGCAGCACTGGGGTCATGATAGTGGGGGGTGAGGAAGCCTCAAGGAACCAGAGGAATAGTGTGTGTTTCATCGTGCTATACTGCACCCTGGTTAACTCATCCCTTCCCTGTGACCCCCTCCATGGGGGGATGTCCCATTGTCTACAGATGGGCTTTGAGTCTCTGCTTGTTCTCAACAAAATGTTTTTGTTTGTTCGTTATGGGTCTTCTGATGCCTGTTATCAGTCCCGATGATGCCTCATGATTGTACTGGCTGGTGTGCTTCTTCCACGTGGGCTTGTTGCTTCTCTGCTAGATGGCCTCTTATTTAACTTCAAGCCTTTAAGACCCCAGATGCTATATCTTTTATTAGCCAGGCACCATCAGCTTTGTTCACCACATTTGCTTATGCACCCATTTTGTGTATGGAGGGTGAGCATCACAGAATGCCAGTTTGTTAGTACAAAGCGTTCTTGTATTAAGGGAGGGTACAGGATATTTTTATGTAGTGTTAGCTAGCCTGAAATGCTTCCAAAGCATTGGTTCACTTTGATTAGAAACTGGATAGCAGGCAGTTCCAAATGGTTAGCTTGAAAAGGGGCCAGAAGTAAGAGTTCCTGTACAATAAATAAGGAGCCTTGGGGGATGGTGGGTTATGTGTTTGACTGCTAAACACAAGGTCAGCTGTTCGAGCCCACCAGCTGCTCGGCAAAAGAAAGATGAGGCTTTCTGCTCCCCTAAAGATTTACAGCCCCAGGAACCCACCAGAGAACTTCTGCTCCGTTTTAGGGCTGCTATGAGACGTGATGACTGGCTGGCAGTGAGTTTGGTACAATAAGTAGAGATGCAAATGGTCCGAAACCCAAGATGGGGCTGTCAGAGTTCAAACTCCTCTATTAAAATTAAAATGTTCCACTCTTGCTCTAAAATGGCCTAATTTGTCCACCTCTGCACAAGAACTCTTAAAAGAGAAGTTAGACTTTTTCTTAAGAAGAAGCTTGGAGTCATCCTCACCTCTGAAACATTTCACACAAATTGTCCATTGACTTTTGTGTATTAAAATGTGTTAAAAAATGTTTGCTGCAAAATTTGAATAAGAAAAATTTAGATCTTTAAAATATTTATGAAAATTCCTATGGAGTCTTATATTTTTGACACTCTGAACTGCCGCACCCCCCCCTCCCCCTCATTGTATGTGCCTTTTCAGCTTTCTTTTTTATTTTGCGTTCTTCTCGAGCGGCGCTCCAGCTTTGCAGCATCTCACCTGCAGGCTCTGTAAATGGTGCACAGACTCCCGGACCAAAAAGAAAACCCGCTAACTCAGTCACCCCACAGGACAGAGAAGAATCTTTACATCTTTTAAAGGCTGCAGAGTGACTAGCAGGTTTGAACCACCGACATGATTGGAAGCTCTATCCCTAACCAACTACCTAGCCACATGGGTCCATATGCAGTTTCTCTGGGAAGTCCTTTAATACCGAATTCTTTTTCAAATGTTTCTTACCTTTCTAGTCTTATCCTGTAATTTGTGAGTCTGAACTCTTCTCATATTTAAAACTAGGATGGTAAATAAATAAATTAGTATAACTTAAAAGTTATACTTTTATGAAAATAGATTTGAATACCTACCTAAGAAACGAGAGCTGTTGCCATCTATCCAATACAATTTTATGAATCAATGCCGCAAACAACCCTAGGACTAGGCCTAAACATCAAGAAAAAAAATATTTTTTTTCTTTTTTGAACTGTGTTATTTTCTGGGCTGTATAAAAGTTTTTAATTTTCATGAAAACCAATTTAATTCTATTTCTCCTTTTTGCACGTGTTTCTGATGTCATATCTAAAATACTGTTGCCTAAACCCGCCCTTGTAATATATTGGACTGTTAACCACAAGGTCAGCTGCTCAAACCTACCATCCACTTCAGAAAGATGAGGTTTTCTGCTTCTATGAAGATTTGCAACTTAAAAAAGAAAATTGCAGATTTGGAAGCCACAGGGGCAGTTCTGCTCTGGCCTATAGAATTACCAGGAGTCAGAATGTACTTGACGGTGCGGATTCATTCTCACGAAGGCGGATTACTCTTATGCAGACTTCTAAGAAATTAATAACCATAGATAGTAGTTTCCCAGTGCTGCTGTAACAGCTTAACTGACAGAGAAATTAATTTCTCCCAGTGCAGGCTAGACTGCCAAATCTAGGACACCCGCTCCCAGAGGGCTCTCCCGGCCTCTGGGCTTGGGAGGAAGGTCCCAGTCTCTCTCCGCCTGCTTTCCTCGGTTCTTTCGCTCCCTCCCGGCCATCGAGTCCTGTGGCCTCTGTCTTCCCCTCTCTGCGCTTGCTATTTCTCTGCCCAATCTGCTCCTTTATATCTCAAAAGTAACACCGATGGCTTCCTTAACCTACCAAAGAAAGAACCCTATTCCCAAACAGAAATACATTTAGATGCATGATTCCTTTTGATTGAGAACTTCTGTGCGTGGTCCAACTTCATTGTCAGACAAACAGTTTGAAATATGTTTTCCCATCCTGGGGGTTGGCTCTTTACTTTCCTGTGCCGCCTGATTCTGCCCGGGCCCCGGGGAACTGTGCCCTTTTTTGTGGACTGGTGAGTCGTAGCAGAGTCAGAGAAAAGGGTGCCCGAATGCTAGAGATGTGTTTCAGCTCATCCGCTGGAGGACAGCACAGCTGTTTACCAAGCAGGGATTGGGCCGCACAGATTTTCCCTGTATTAACCCTTGTTGGGTTCCAGGGAGCAGAGTTCTTGAGGGATGGGAAATCCAGGGGAATGCTTGCTTTGATTGTGAACATTCCTCATTCTAATTGCCTGTGTGTCTTCAATCTTTGGTAGGTGAAAGTCGGCCTCCCGGAAGTCACACTTGGCATTCTTCCTGGTGCCAGAGGAACCCAGCTTCTTCCCAGACTCACCGGGGTTCCTGTTGCACTTGATCTAATCACCTCAGGTCAGTACTCAATGCCAACCAACAGCCATCACAGAACAAATCTTGCCCTTAGCCGAATACTCCTATGTAAAGAACCGGGCTGAGATTTAGAGAAATCTTGGTTTAATCATTAATTAGATACATTAACTTTTCTGAATTTCAATCTTCTCATCTGTGAAGTGCAAAGAATTACCTTCTCTCTGAAATAGTATCACGAAGCTCAAACGTGATAGCTTTCGGAATGAAAGTGTATACAACGCCGTCACCAAAGGTAAAGCTTTTTTATGTTCCAAACATCTCTTCAGAAAAAGAGAGTGCATTATACTCAGGTCCAATATAAATAACTGAAATGGGATTCTTTTAGGAAGATTTTTATTTTTCTGTAGAATTGACTTCATTTTCTTATTTCTCAAGTATTAAGATATTAACTGTAAGTGGAAGCTTTTCTTTTTCAATATTGAAAACATTAGAGACCCCGACCTTATTATCAAATATCATCACACAAATATATAAAAAGATTTTCTGTTGGGGTAAAATTAGAAGAAAGGAAGAAAAAAAAAAAATATATATATATATATTCTAAACAAGTAAAACAAATGACCAGCCCTTGGGGCCGGCCCCTTTACTCTTCTGTGCCTCAGAAGAGTATCTGCAGAAGAACGTATCTCTGCAGCCAGAATGTTCTTTAGAGAGAGGACCGTGGACCTTCAGCTCTAGACTTTGGGTGTGTGGCGAAGGGGGACCAGCCCTTAGAGAAGGAGCTCATGCTCAGTAGACGAGAGGGTCAGTGAGAGAGAAGAAGACCTTCCTTGAGATGGAGTGGCACCAAGCGGGCAACGGTGGGCTCGAACTTGGCTGTGGGTGAGTCTCGTGCGTGACTGGGCACCGTTAGGGCTGTTGTACTTGGGGTCCCTAGGAACTGGCGCGACGCATCTAACGACAGCTACCACCTGGCATGTGAAGATTAAATAATACGTGCACTGTGCACCTCATGGCATGGATGTACTTAGAGAACATCATGCTGAGTGAAATTAGTCAAGCACAAAAGGGTATGTATTGTATGAGGCCACTGTTATATAGCAACAGTGGAGACAAAGGTTTTCAGACCCTGCACAACAGGCTTTGATGGTTGCCAGGGTGGGAGGGGAAGGAGGGAGGATGAAGTGATAGACGAGAGGGCTGGCAGGTGCTAACCTGGCTGGAGGGAAGGGGTTATCCTACGGAGGGAGATGAGAGAAAAGGGGGAAGGCAGGTGAAGCCATTGGAGGTTTGATAAGTAGGTTACATTGTTGAATGCAAAATTGATGACCTGGACATATTTTCAAGGTGGGCCATCAGGGTGTTGTGAGGCCTCGTAGCTGCAATGTGAGAGAGTGAGAGAAGTCCCAGTGGCATCAAATGGCCTGAGCAGCCAGAGGCTGTGTCCATTGCTGAGGCAGGGGAGTCTGCATGTAGAGTACACGGAAGGGATTCGTTTGCATATGGGTTGCAGCACAATGCAAAGAAAACCCAAGTCCTGCACGAGTAGAAACATCACGATAAATGGAGCCAAGATTGAAGTTGTCAAGGATTTCACCTTGCTTGGATCCACCATCCATGCTCGTGGAAGCAGCAGTCAGAGTAGGCATTGCAGTGGGTAACTTGGCGGCACAAGAGCTCTTTAAAGTATCGAAAAGCAAAGAGGTTCCTTTGAGGACTAAGGTGCACCTGACCCAAGTCATGGTATTTTCACTGGCCTCGTGTGCATGACTAAGGAAGACCAAAGCGGGATCGCTGCATTTGAGTTACGGTGCTAGCAAATACCGCAGGGACTGTGCACTGGCAAACGAACACACAGATCGACCTTGGAAGAGGTCCAGCCGGGATGCTGCTCAGATGCAACGATGGGCAGAATTCCTCTCACGTACTCTGGACGTGTTGTCAGGGGAGACCAGTCCCTGGAGAAGGACCTCCTGCTTGGTGCAGGAGAGGGCCGCTGAGAAAGAGCAGCCCTTCGACCAGATGGATTGACACAGTGGCTGCATAATCAGTTCGAGCACAAAGGACAATTGTGAAGGTGGCACAGGACCTGCCAGTGTGTCCTTCGGTTGGACATAAGGTCGCTGTGGGTCAGCACCGACCTGACACCTAGCAACAATACCAGCATGAGACACCCAAGTGGAGGTGTCAAATAAACAGCCATGTACACTGGCCTAGCATTCAGGGGCGAGGGCTGAGCGCCTCTTAGCCTCTGCTTACTCATTACTTCAGGTAGATTACTTGGTACAAAGAAGGCATTTGGTAGAATAGACTTGACACCATGGATGTACGTATGGATTGTGATAAGAGTTGTACAAGCCCCCAATAAAATGGTGTTAAAAAAAAAAAGACATTTGGTAGATCTCAGCTGTGGTGGTTAGAATAGTGCCCTCCTCTCCCTTCAAAGACATCCACACCCAAATCCCCTGAACCTCTGAGCCTGCCGCTGTAGTTCAAAGATACGTGGTAGATTTGATTAGTTAAGGATCTTGAGTTGGGGGATTGTCTTAGATTGTATTGGGTGGGCCCAATAAAGTGATTCTTAGAAGAGGAAGACAAGGGTTCAAAGCTGAGAAGACGAGCCGCTACTGGCCCTTGTAGGTGGAGGAAGGGGCCACACACCAAAGACAGAAGCCAGAAAGGACAAGGAAATGCATTTTCCCCTAAGCTTCCAGACTCATCTTAGACATTTGACCTCCTATAGAATACGAAAGAGGAGTTGGAAAAACTAATCACACTAAATTTATTTCTTCAGTAAAGTCGTTTGACTTTACGGCTGTGGTACATTCACTTTTAAGAATGTGCACTCTTTTGAGGACCTGAAGTGGGATTCACAATGAGATGATGACAAGACACTCGGAGCACCGGAGACAGTTCACTCTGCAAAAGGACGAATGGAAAGCAAGCAGATAGCGAGGAAACCAGAATAGTGTGAAATGAGTCTGCGCTCTAAGGCTTTCAGAATTAAAGCATGTGGCAGAATACTGAGGAATGTTTTGGACCTGTTTTCAGTAGTGAATCTGAAATCCAAGGGTATCTTGAGGGAAATCAAGAAGAAAATTGACTTCTTTTACAAAGAGAAGTAAAATGAATTTAGATAGGCCTTTTTCTAAACCTCTGCATATAGAACGAGCACCATTAGTAACATGCTAGAGATCAGAAAGAAGAATTTGATGGATTGTGTTTTGATTCAGAAGAAAGGTAGCATTTGAACCATATCTTTTTAGGTAGCCGTACAACTTTAAGGGTTGCTGGAGGTACGTGGTTAAAGCGCTCAGGTACTAACCTGGAGGTCTGCGGTACAAACCCGCCAGCCGCTCTGCAGGAGAAAGCTGAGGCAGATGACTGCCATGATGACCGCCTTGGACCCCCGTGAGGCGGTTCTACTCTGTGCATCAGAATTGATTCAGTGACAGTGAGTTTGACCTCTGGGGGGTCCAATTTTAGAATGACACGTGGGGAGGAGTCTGTGTAGAAAATATCAGAAGAAACCTGGAAAAAATTGAGCTTGCTCAGGTAAGAGAAGAGGTGTCTCACCGTCACTTGCCATGGTGCCGTCTCTTGCTGGAGGCCATTAGAGGATGGTTGTTCTCTACACTGAGGGTGACTCAAGAAAAACCAGTTTAAGCTTGAGCCTGAAGATGTGGGCTGGTTGTACAGCCCCGTGTCTTTAGGGACTGGGGTGTCTGAAACAGTGCAAAAGAACCCAGCGTCTCGGACTTTGGGCCTCGACTTAAATCTTAGCTCAGTACAAGAACGGTTTGTTCTAATTATGTGGCACTGTATGATACTCACCTTCGTGGCACAATCGCTGAAGACAAAACGGGTGCATAAGCAAATGTGGTGAAGAAAGCTGATGGTGCCCAGCTATTAAAAGATGTAGCGTCTGGGGTCTTAAAGGCTTGAAGCCAAATAAGCGACCATCTAGCAGGGAAGCAACAAAGCCCACATGGAAGAAGCGCACCAGCCTGTGTGACCATGACGTGTTGACAGGAAGAGGATCAGAAGTTCAGAAACAAGCAATCACATTGACATGAAGGAGCGTGGACAAAGGGGAGACCCAAAACCCACCTGTAAGATAACTAGTCAGTGGCACAGAAGGGCCAGATGGAAGTGATGTTAAATCCAGGGAGTGATATAGCACTGATGAAACACGGAACTATCTTCTAGATCAGTGGCTCTCAATCTTCCTAATGCTGTGACCTTTTAATACACCTCATGTTGTGGTGACCCCCCCAACCATAAAATTATTTTCATTGCTACTTCATCACTGTAATTTTGCTACTGTTATGAATCAGGCGACCCCTGTGAAAGGGTCGTTCAACCCCCAAAGGGGCTGTGACCCACAGGTTGAGAACCACTGCTCTAGATTGTTAATATTTCCTCCCCTGACTATTATGGTCTTTGCTTTACCTCTTTAATCTTGTTAGATCTGTGTATGTTCATTTGTATAATTAGGAGTGTTCGATGCATGTAAGCCAAGATAGATAACCCATCAGAAACAGTAATGAGAGTAATGATTCCCTGAGGGTACAGGAAGAGGGGGTGAAGGAGAGCTAATAGCAATGATGACTATAACCCCACTAGAGGGGAATGAACAACAGAATTGCAGGTGAATGGATATATGGGATGGTGTAAGACACGGCCAAAACAATAATAATAATAATAGTTGCTGGGCTGCAGTTTGGGGAAAGGAGGTGATAAAGGGGAGCCAATATCAAGAGTTCAAGAAGAAAGAAAATGTATTGAAACTGATGGTAACAATTGTAAAATGGTGTTTGATATTATCTGTAAGAGCTCCCAAGAAAATGATTAATAAAAAAAAAGAAAGAAAGAAAAAGTGCCCGGCATCTCATGGACTCTGGGAGAGCATTCGTGGTACATTCTTCCGCTTTAGGAAATCCGGCCCAGAAGGAGTCATTACAACTGAAGAAACTGTGGGCAGTCCCGGTCTCTTCTGCTTTGTTGTCCCAAGGAGTCTTTTCGTTTCCACCCTCCTTTCTGTGCACTTGGTCCCTTGAACTTGGGTAGGCGGACATACTCACCCCCACCAAGTGGTTGTCATATGTGGCAGCAGATTTCAAAGCGTGCTTTCTAAGGCAATTCCAAAAAAACCGGCCCAAATGTTGCCGCTACAGAGTACCCCTGCCCAGAGTCATCAAACTGTCTAGCTGCCAAAGAAAGCCCACACCGGGCTCTTTGAAGCACTAATTAGAACCAGGGAGGGAGGCTTCGTCTCAGAGACATCTGGCACCACAGTCTACCATCAGAGCCTGGTCTGATGATTGCCCTTCAGAAGGCAGGATGGTGCTGGGGACCAAGCAAGCCACGTGTCAGATCTCCCCGCCGATCCTGTGCTGGGATGCTTCATGCTCTGTTCTCTACCCTCGGCTAACGCATATGCAGGTCAAATAATACCTAAGGGGAAAAAATAATAATACCTAAGAAACACCTGGGGGAATTCTGGAACGATGCAAACCCTCACCAAACTGCTGTAACCCAACCCCTAGAGCTGTGAGTAGAATCAAGGAGCCAGCAGCACTGCTGGACCGGAGACGCTGGTGGCACCAGCCCTGCCAGACACTGGGGGCGCCATCCATGAAATGCACCTGGAGCCACGGGTCTGCAGGAACACTATACCCTGGTCTTCCCTGCTTCCTTTTCGGCTCATACAGGAGAGGGCAGGGCTGCCACGCTCACACAGGAGCGATCCCACAGACTTAAGGATGTGCTGAGATGCGGGGAAGCCCACCAATGGCAAAAGTCCACCCTCTCCGGTCTTGTTATTTTGAGTGTAATTGTGCTATCATGTCCTCTTAATAATTGTCTTCCTGTCATGCCAACTATGTTTGTGTGGGGCGCCAAGTCTGTTTTCGTGGTAATCAGCCAGCTCTTGAGAGTCAAGCCCAGCTCCTGAAAGCCCTGGTGTCTCAGAGCAGCCCTGGGGGCGCTCCTGGCTGTGGCCTTTTGGGGTACCTGTGGGTAGGTCAGAACCAGCAACCGCTGGCACGTCAGGTTAAGGCACCGACCACTGCTACTACTCTGTAACATTATTTCTATTGTTATAAAAAACACTAACCCTTTCCCATCTTTCATCACATGGACTTACGTTCCTGTAGAGCAGTGGTTCTCAACCTTCCTCATGCCGCGACCCTTTCGTACAGTTCCTCCTGTTGTGGTGACCCCCCAACCATCAAATTATTTTTGTTGCTACTTCATCACTGTCATTTTGCTATGGTTATGAATCGGGCGACCCCTGTGAAAGGGTCGTTCGATCCTCAAAGGGGTCGTGACCCACAGGTTGAGAACCGCTGCAGTGTAGAGCCTTATAGTTTATGAAACGCTCTCACATATATTATTCTAACCAAATATTCAGAATTACTCAGGTAAGTGTAATTATTCCCGTTTACCCGTTCTGGTCGAGGCTGCAGACCTTCACCGTCACACAAGCTCCACCGTCACAAAGGTGGAGCAGGTGCTGGAATCCAAGTTTTGTGGTTACCGACTGCTTTCTCTAGCACGGCAACCACTGTTGTCCTAGTTCTTTAGAAATAAGTGTTGATGGCCAAGCAGATAGCCTTCCCTGCTGGGCAATGCAGCTGCTTTAATCTCACCGAGTTCTTTGGCTTGTTCCATTTTGATTTGTTTTAGGAAGACATGTCTTGGCCCGTGAAGCACTGAAGCTGGGTATTCTGGATGAAGTCGTAAAGTCCGACCCTGTGGAAGAAGCAATCAAATTAGCCCAGAGAGTGTTGGGTAAGAACATCGAAATAGCACACGATTGGAAACAAGTTAACTGTCCATTTTCATAAAGAATCGCGGCAGTATCTTATAGTGCATCCATCCGACAGAATGGGCTACACCTTAAAAGCGAATGAGAAACTCTTTAGGAACATATATGGTATGGTCTCCAGAATATAGTACCAAGTGCAACAACAAAAAATCCTTGTTTAAAGTGTTTTAATCATTCGTGTAGCCAAAAAGGGGAGAGTGGGGTAGAACATATCTGTGAGGAGGACGTGCCTTTGTACTTGTTTGTCTTGGCATTAAGTATGCTGGACGGATTCACAAGAAATGGCTGCCTCTGGGGTCGGGGGTGGACAACTAAGGGAAGCAGCCAGAAGGAGACTTTTCACTATCTACTATTTTGTACCTTTTCAGTTTTTAGCACATGGATTTATTTCTCTTTGAGAAATCTAATTAAGCAAAAACAAGGAAACAGTGTTTCAACCAAGGGAAGACAGGCTCTACAAGGACCACAGTAAAGCCCAGAGCCTTTAGAATTCCTATCTCTGAAAACCAAGTTACTTCTCTCATTGGTCTCTCCTCCAGGGACCATGGATGGCATTTCTTTAAGACTTATTTGGAGTGAGTTACTTTCTCCTTCTTTTTCGATACTAATCCTTTCGTGCTGAAATCCAGCAGGGTGACAGTCTTAGATGATCAAGTAGGAGCGGGTTAAAGATTGTCAGAAGAAATAACCCCGATGTTGCTGTGGCCTCAGTGTTGCACTACTAACTCCAAGATTGGCTGTTCCAACCCACCAGCCCCTCTGAGAGAGCCTGATGAGACTGCCTGCTCTTGTAGAGATGGATAGTCTTGGAAACCCTGGATAGGGTCACTAAGAATTGGGATCTTCTCAGGGGAGTGAGTTTGGGGTGGTATCATTTCAATAGTTTCTAAGACCGCCAATTTCAACAGGAAGTTTTTTTCTTGACAGAGGTTTCTACTTTCAGATTTGAGAGTTAAATTACCTTAAATCTGTGCAATCCAGGAGTAGTCCTGGTGGTGTAGTGGGGTTATGCATTGGGCTGCTAACTGCAAGGTCAGCAGTTCGGAACCACCAGCTGCTCCTAGGAGAAAGACAGACAGGGCTTTCGACTTCTGTAAAGTTAGTCTTGGAAATCCACACGGGCAGTTCTACCCTGCCCTATAGGGTCACTACGGTCCCCATTCACTAGATGGCAGTGTTTGGTTGGTTTGCGTGCAATCCAACAACAATTACACAGTTTGGCCACTTGGTGGCATCCTAACATTGAAGAATCGTATGCTTTAAAACCTGGTCAATTCACCTGGTGACAGTAGGGAAATTGTTCTGAGCTTTCAACTCTACGGTCAATCACCTAACTATTTGACATTGCAATCATGAAGGCACATATAGAAATATGCAGAACGTTATGATGTAAAATATTTAAAAAGCATAGCTGCTTGTATTCTGTATTATTACGGCCACATGCAGTATGTATGGGAGGAAGAAAAGAATGAAACATTTCCCACCAAGTGATCTTGCTGTTTCCAGCGTGAGGTGAGTACAAATTTCTAATCATTTCTAAGTGATTTTTGTTTTGATTTCCCCCCCCCCCAGCTCTATCGAGCTATAATTCGCACATAATAAAATCCACCCGTTTTAAGTGGAACGTTTGATGAATTTTCGTAATTATGTGCAGTTATGTAACCACCCCATAATCAAGATGGAGTTCTACCCCCTAAAGAAGCATGATTGTGTCTCTTCCCAGGCACTGCCCTCTGCCGCAGGCCCCGCTGGTCTGCTTTCTGTTGCGGTGTGCAAACAAAAACCAAGCTCACTGCCAGAGTTGATTCTGACTCACAGCTTCAGAGCGACCCTCCAGGACAGGGCAGAACTGCCCCTGTGGGTTTCCGAGACTGTATCTCTTTATGGGAATAGAAAGCTCTGTCCTCGTCTCTTGGAGCAACTGCTGGTTCCGAACTGCTGATGTTGCACTTAGCAGCCCAATGCATAACCACTATGCCATCAGGGATCCTTGATATAGTTTTGCCTGTTTTATGGTTTCCTGTAGATGGATCATACACTGTCCCATATAGCCTGTGTCTGACTTCTTTCACGTAGCACAGCATTTGTGAGGTTCACCTATGCTGTTGCAGGCATTAATATCTGATTATTTTCATTACTGACTAGTATTCCAAGTTGTGTGGATCCACTACAATTAGTTTATCCATTTTTGAATAATGGACATTTGAGTTGTTTCTACTTTGGGGTTACCCAAGCCTTTGTAAGCTTTAAACAAAAATCATTTTATTGGGGGCTCTTACAGCTCTTATCACAAGCCAGCCATCCATCCATTGTGTCAAGCACATTTGTACCTATGTTGCCATCATCCTTTAT